ATTCCACCGCCAGTCAGTGAACATAATACACAGATCAAATAAAAGACACGGTTGATACTATTCAACCGTAGAACTATAACTAACTCGTAATTTTTTTTATCCGCGTAAATGTCGACAATTTGTGGAATATGAGCGTGAATATGTATTTTTCTTTTTCTTTTCGTCGTTATTAAAACACTGGAACAGACGTTCATCATAAAAAATAAATCATCTGTTACACCAAAAGGTAATCTATACCCATACGACAACAAGTAGAATATAATTAAAAATCCGTTTGATAAAAATACATATAATAATGTGGCACGATCAACCTACGCCATACTACGAAACACAATTCTATATGATGTGAACTGCTTTTTGAAAAACTTTGTACGATTGACATTGAGATGTATCCGTGTGAGATACACCACTGGATAGAGCTCGACGAGTTCTATGTGATGAACTATTGATCTCTTTTGGCACAGATTTGAGAGCGAATATTTTCGAGAAATACTGTGAGAAACCGCCTGAAACAAGAGTAATTCCAACAGACTGGAGCCGAAGGGGCCGGTTGGACTATGAATTGTGATAGATGTTTGCACAAACAATTGAACTTCGCGTTATCGATGTTGGGGCGGAGACGTCTACACTATTCAAATTGTTTATCTCGATATTGACTTCCAACTGCATCATTGGTACCTATAATAAAATAATATTGAGAGAGCATCGCGTTTAGTCGACGCTGAGTTGATGCCAGTGGTGCTATTAAAATTGTCGTTTGATTATCGGGATAGTCAAACTCAACTGAAGGCGAACGTGGCAGTATGGTTGTTGTGACTGATGTTTTGATCAATTTGTCTCGTCGAATAACACGGGGATCGTAAGGATAGATGCCAGCTTTCTCGAAGACTGAGCGGAAAGAAGTGCGTAATTGTATAGTTGAGCGTACAATCTGACAAAATCGAGTTTATCTATGGTTTTTGAGTTCGTCTGTTTGTTGTGTGAATATGTGTTGCTTGTGCTGGTAGACACAACAGATGTATTTGGTGATTCATGACTAATCGAATAGTTTTTAATGACAGATGCGATGTGTGTCCGTCGAAAATACGTAGGTGTGGACGAGGAATATGCTTGATTTTGGGAATGAACAGTTTTTCTAAATAATCGAAAAATCGGTCTTCATCCATCCATTCAGATTCCGTACGATTAAACACAGCACCACGAATGACATTTTTCGGGCATCATGTGTTGTATAAATTCTTTGCTTTATATATGAGGTATGGTGGCAAACATGTACCGTTAGCGGCGATTGTTAACAATACCGTCGTATGGGATTTGCCACTACTGCTGTGAATTGATTCGCATATTTCGTTTCTCGACTGACCAGAACCTTCTTTTTCCCGGATCATCGTTAAAACTGGATTCGTCACACTTATAAATTTGCTGAGGCTTGTCGAATTAAATGAAATTGAGTTTTAATAACACTGAATGAAGTTTGGCGAACCAACCGTTTACGGTCTCTGTTGTGACGCCTTTTGCATGTACTTTTTCCAGTTTCACACTGTTCATCAGTTTTAACGTATCCTTCCATCTTTTCACGAAGCCATAAGTCACAGGCTGGTGCTCCGTTTGGAAAACGAGCTGTTAACTTCACCAGTTCCACATATTCAGCAGCATATTTCAACAAATCTTGACACGTTGAACCTTGCAATGTGATAATCGGTTTGACTAAATGCGCTTCTTTTGGTTGTGTTAAAGATGTTGGGCGACCAACAGGAGATGTGATTTACGAGATATTCTTGCTGATAATGTTCCTGGTGGGATTTTGAAGGCTTTCGCAGATTGTCTCAATGTCATTTCTTTGTTTTCAATTTTCTCAAGACCTCGACTTACATCTTCTCCACTGTAAGTCGGTCTTGGTGTCGTGTCTTACGTATGTAATTTCGAACCATTTTACAAAACAGGTAAATCTAGCAAAACAGATACTTATGAAAACCGATATATATGTATACATAAGTCGTAAACAGTTTTCAAGAAAATCAAGTCCTGATCGAGAAACAGCTCGAAAACGAGATTCCCACGTGAGAATTAGAAAGGTCATCTATATTAAAGAACAGTATTCATTATATTTCATATATTTTCTCGAGAAAAATGAGCGGACATTTCTTACCAATTGTACAGGGGAGAATTGTGCATATTATATTGTCAGATAAGGTTGATATAACCTATGCATCGTTTGGAAGGTTGTCTGGAAGAGAACCCGAGTTTCCTAGCTGTAATACACGAGTGTCTGCAGTTGCCCCACACTTCTCGTGTATGCATGCAATTACCCCAAATGGGACAATTGCAAACATTTTCTACTTTTTTTTAAATTACTGTGTTAATTAGAGCTTAGCTTGATTAGAGACCAGAGATAGGAGATTCTTACCGATCGTAGAGAAAGGTCTCCGCTAGCCACCTGTGCAAGAACGACTAATTAATCTCCTTACCTTAATGAAGAAAGTTAATTGTGCTAATGAGTGCTTTTCCCGTGTGTCTTTACACGAGTGTCTGCAATTGCCCCATAGAGTACTAGCGATGTATGCAATTACCCCATGTGGGGTAATTGCAGCCAGATCGAGAGATACACTCCTAGAAGCCGGTTTTCGAAAATTTTCAGATAGGTTTCTACAGGAAATTTCGATCTACCTACCTGCAAAAAAAACAACTGAAAATTAATAAAAATAACAAAGTTATGTTGATTACAAGAGAAAAGATCGCAAAACTGTCTGCAATTGCCCCATACTAGTCTAATGAACGTAAATAAATCATAAGTGATTTAGAGTAGAAAACTATATATTTATATAGCTCAATCTGCTGTTTTACTTTGATATTATTGTCCAACGGAGTTACCCTTTACTTCCTTTGTGTCGCCATATGGTCAACCTCAGTCGCGCTCATCTATTATGTGCAATTAGTGTTTTTAGCTTAGAATTTACATCCTCCTTTTTTGGTGGCGTTCCTCCTTTCAAGATTTCATGATTCCTCCTAAATTCCTCTATTTTGGAAAAAGCTCAGTACGAAGCCAGATGTTAACAGAATGAGATAAAAATAATTATCGACAAATTTATCTCGCAGAGTTTTGTTCAACGAAGCAAAAGGTATAGGTAAAACAAGCATACAATAAAAAGTTTAGGATGATGCATGTGTTGGGTTAAACATGGATAAGAAAAAAGAACTATATGTTGCATCGGAGTTCACCAGAGGAACAGCTAGTGAATCAAAAAAAGAAAACAACTCTTTGCTCATTTATCTACTCTTACTTTAATAAGGAAAGAAAACTACAGTAACAACATCTTCTGTTTGGAAGAAATTGAGAATTGTATCCTGGAATCAGACATGGAAGTAATATTATATTGGAAAAATTGAATACTTGTCAGGTACATCATCTGCAGGTTATCCCATCTACTTTATTCTTTCGCACGTTTTTCTCCTTTCAAGTGTTTTTTCAAAATGGTGGAAACCGCAGGTTTCTAGCTTCGTTTTAATAAATGGTACTCAAGGAACCATTCTATTGAACTAAAATTTTTCACATTTTGCAACTTTGTTTTTAACGTTTTGCCTTGGCTTTGCAGAGAAATTTTAGCCCTACTAGATTCGCTCACCATAAACACACACGGTCCTTTTGCTTGAAAAAAGCACAAAAATACTCGAAGAATTTCTGTTAATTTTTGAAAATTTTGAAAATTTAATTTTTCAAATAGAAATTCCACTTTTGAGAAGTTGAAAAGTAAGGAATTTCGCTTAGAATATAATCTCCTTTGCAATGAACCGTTGCTCTAGTTGTCGAATGAAAAATGACAAAGAAATAATTAAACTTTTGAAATATGTCGTTTGTTGAGAAAAAATGATAGTGCTTTGTTTAAAAATCCTATTTACGGCGTAAAACATTATAGCGAGGGAAAAACACTTCTTTCTGTAGAATTAAATGTGAAATTACTTTGAGAAACAATAGAGTTTTGCATTAAACTAAACAACCGACAAGGGCGCTATTATCTAAAACCATAGTAAATCGTTATCAAACATTTTCAGTAGGTTATGTAAGCAGCATGTGGCGCAAACACGAGACGTCATGTTCTTTTCTTGTTTTATCCAGCGCGATATGCGATAGACATTCCTCTTGTCGTCTTTTTACTTTGCGATAGACATTCCTCTTGTCGTAAAGGACGGAGCACGGTTTTTTGAGTAGTTTTCCTCTGCTAGTACGCTTACAGGGTAGTCTCGCGCAGCTTCGACCAGCATTACAGACACTTTCTCTACAAACTTGCAAGCCTATCTCAGTCGAAAAAGAATCGAATTGTGAGTAGGCGAACATTCTTTAAACATCGGCACGGTGCCAAGAGTGGGATTAACATTTTGATTTTGGTCAAAAAATCCCGGACGTTTTTCACGTACTGCATCGTCTGACAATGCAAAATGATGCCAATCTTCCAAGGGGGAAAGCACGGAATCCTAGAATTCTGAATTCTCCTCGATTCCAAGGATTCTCTATGGTTCTATAGGATTCCATAAGATTCCCTCGGATTCCCTGGAACTTTTATGTTCTGTTTTGGGAAACGTTTCCCAGAATATAAAACACTTTTGCTCTGTTTCCGGAGAAGTGTAGAAACCCGGATTCCACTAGATTCCATAGAATTTCAGAATTCCGTGCTTTCCCCCTTGCAATCTTCACGATGAATCCACAGCAGCTGAAACTTTAAAATATTGAAACTTACCAGTACAAGCAAAACGGCACGTCTACAAAACATTTGAAGCACGTCGATAGAGAGAAACGCATATTCTAGATCCTAATGATCTGAGAAAATAGTGTAACCTAAAACGCATTTTTCTTTTAACATATGGATTTGAAATAACTTTTATATACTGTAACACGCACTAACGATACCATACACATGAGCTGTATGGCAAAGACAAATCTCTGCTCTTGGTAGTAATAGGCGTATAGCATCAGAAAGTTTTTAGTATGGAGAGCCCAACTGAGTTTGTTAAATCTCAGTACTTAAGGGTTTTGAGCGATACTCTTTCTGATGGCTAACTCGAAATAATTTTAAAAGTGCTGGAAGTAGGATTTCCAGAAAATCACATTTTTTTTACACATCCATTTACAGAAAATAATCTTTTTAAAAGAAACTTTTGCCTCTAAAAACATTTCAAATTAGCTGTTTTATGAACTGAATGGGCTGCATTTTGAAAAGGGTTTAACTATCCAACTTATAATCCGAAATTTTTATTCCAATTTTAAAATTTGAAATTTCAACTTTTTTTAAAATTGTGCTAATGCTTTTCAGAAGCTAACTGGAACACTTTTAGGGACATGTTTGGATAGAGCTCGAAAAACTGAACATACCTGGATAGTTGGTGACTTCTAGACTAGGACAAAACGGCTTTCTAAAGGTTTTCCTAAAACTCAAGTGCTAAAATTTATATTTTAGTTCCTTTTTCGGCAATTTAAAAGCATGTGATGAGATTTTCAGATATGGTTATCGATAGAGTTTGAAGAGTTTCGATATCTAAAAAAGGAAGTTTCAGCAGGTTTAGCAAAGGCTTCGAGAAAAATTCAGAGATATTTTTACTTCTTTTTTCACTATAATTGATATTTCCGATGTTTTGTCTAGCTTCTGTCGCGTGTGACGGACGCATGGAAACAACTTATCTTGGTCTTCAAAGAATTTCTAAGGTTTTTTCATAGATTTTTGACGTCTTACTATAATGTGACAGCTTTTTCCGTTCTGTGATGAACTATTTCACAGTTAAACACACTTTTTCTTCTTAAAAGTACCTCTCCCTGTGTTTTGAAAAAACTGTTTAGTTCGAGCTGAACAAGTAGAAGAAAGTCTGTGCTATGAAATGAGACTGCTCTCAGCTCTCCACGATCTTTTTTGAAAAAATTATGAAGTTTTTAAATTTTTCCTTCAAAGCCTAGAGAATTTCAACTTTTTAATTTCGTAATTTTTTCTCTCTTTTCTCATGTATTCAAAATTTTTTCTTATAAATAGCGTGCGCGACAGAACGTGACAGCGTGCACAGAAGAAAGTGTGCTCTTCAAAATTAGACGTCTTCCAGAATTTCCTGATGCGTTTGAAAGTTTCATCGGCTATTTGTTTTTGCGACACTGTTCGTTGATTTCGGAAGAGTTTTCACCAACTCAAGTCAGCATAATATATTTTTTGAGAAATACTAAAAGGCACTGTTCTTGCATATAAAAATGATGAGTGTCTGAATTGTTGCAGTAATTATTGTCATCAGCTATTCGATGCGCTTGAACAACCGGTAGGCTTTGACCTTGCCGCAATCCATGGTCTGAAAATGAAAGACACGTTTCATGAGAGACGAGAAATGAGAAATAACTTACGACATGTTGTTGACCTTGATCGTTGATAAAGCGCGTCACTACTGTTTCTTTGCCATTCTTGTCACGCATCATTTGAATCCACTTGCCGTTTTCAAATCGAACGGTCCCCTAAAAAGAAAGGATAAAGCATGAAAAGAGAGAATAGTGCGAGCAACAAATAGCCATACTGTGACTTCTTGTCCGTCAGCTGTTGTTTCTGTAAACTCAACACCGGGTATGAATTCGGTCGTTGTTGTTTTAAGAGTAGACTCTGAACGCAGCGTCCACTTGCCATCTTTCTCACTAATAGTTAAGCGAGGCTTGACGTTTTTAGCCACCTTACGCATCACCATGCCAACACCAACCTCCTTCAGAAAATCCTCAAAGTTTTCACCGTCGACCTAAGAACAGAAAAATAATTATGATGTTAATAGTCCAAAATGTGTTCAATACATACATAGTCCCAAGTACCTTTGAGAGCTTCAACGCCGTTGCCGCTGGCCATCTCTAATTTCAAAATGTATGTTCGTACACGTTTATGTTACTCTACTAGATACTAAAAGTATGTGAAAGGACGAAAGTTGCGTTATCACACAAGCGAGTTTAGTATGATGTGGAAGAAAATGAATAACTATTGTAAAAATCACATTATTAGATTGAATCCTTATTTTGTTTACATGTAGGTGAGCTTTTGATTACATTCTGACCTCATCTTCCAAACATGGCACGTCAGGTAAAGGTAATACACGCGAGAATTTCAATAATTCATCAGGCGTATGACATCTGTTTGAAGAAAAGCTTTCAGAGAGATGTCCCGCACATATATAGAGTAGGGGTACGCAGAACTGGTCCCGGTTTGACCATTTTTCATAAACAGTGATTTAGTTGAGTAGATCCAGTAGAATCCCCCACCCAAAAAAAATGAAAATTTGCAAAATAGAAAATAATTAATAATAAACGATTTTATAACGAAGAAAAATATTTAGTAGCGTCTTCTAAATCTAACTTATTTTTCAGAATGGATAACTACGAGTGGAAAACACTTCACAAAAGGAAGGAGAGTGTGAGAGAAAAAGAAATGCCGATAAACAATGAAAAACAGATGTCTATCCAGTTGTCAAATAATTATTTCCCATCAAGAATAATGAAGGTAGTTATTTATCAAGTATATATATATCTCGTTCTAAACCCCCCCCCCAAAATAGAAGGCCACCCTATATTAGAAGGGCACCCTAAATAGAAGGCCACCTCAGAGGCAATTCTGTAAAATCCAT